GAGGCCCCAGTTTATGCTGCTGCTGCTCTGGGAGAGAAATGTCAGAGATATTAAGAACTAAAAGACAAAGTACTTGATGAGCTACTGCATAGTAATTAAGTGGGTGCCAGGAAGTAGAGGCAGGAACAGAAGAAAAAGATGGGTGTTGACCACTTTGTGACAACAGGAAATATGTAAGAGAAATAGGGGAAGCTTCCGAGATTGGGTAGAAAGATAGCTTACTCATTTAGACATCCAGTTTGCAGTATCTGAGAGGAAGGCAGGTTAAGACGCTCAATTACAGTATTGGCAAAACAGGTTGGAACTCAGTTCCCAGGACCAAGATGTTGAATAGACATACAGACTTGGAAATCTTCTAAGATTGCTCTGACTGGGAAACTGAACTGCCCAAGGACAGAGCACAAGATAAACAACTTTATGTAGCTAATTTTAAAGATTAGCTCAAGAAAAGAAACCAGTGAAGAAAAAAGGGATGGAAGGAATAGGTAGGGAAGCAGAGACCAGAGCAGAACTGAGACAGAGCAGTTCTCTGGAACTGAGCATGAAATAATTTCAAATTGTGCTGCATGAATAGCACTACTGTGAGCACAAGTGAGTGTCTTCTTCCTATGTTCCAATCAAAACTTGTCACTACCAGTACAAAAGACCTATAAAGGAAACTACAATATGAAAGCCAGGAAAGTTCATTTTCTATAAACAAAATAAAAAATCCAAATTTCTCTAGGGGAAAAAAGCACATGTATCAGAGCCAAAAGCAACAAAATGTTCACTTAAAAAGATTTCTTCAGTTTCATATTTTCTGGTACTTAAAAGATAAATTTGAAAGTGGTTCTTAATTATTCTAAGAAAAAAATCTTCTCTTGATTCTTCTATATATGCCATGAGCTAAAATTTTTGGCCAAATTGGCAGGCACAGTAGAGAAACACAGGATTTCTAACCAAGATGACTTTCACTAATTCACAAAAGCTCTGCCACCAGTTACATTTGAATAGAACAGAGGAGGAAAAGATMAGTAAGAAAAGAAATTAAGCATTTATTCTAGCTTTTCAGTAGGAATTACAATTTAAGGTAATTAAAAAGCTACAGTTGATAAAGGAGGAAAAGTTCTTTGTTACAGAAAGTGTGCCCCAAAATTTAATTTAGGAAAGGATTATCAATGAAAGCTAGAAGTATCAAGGGAAAGATTAAAGAAAACTGGGTATCTGAACAATGTCACAATATTTTGCCACAGATTACTTGCTAATTGAAAAGGTATTTTTTAAAATAAAATTTTCTAATTAAAAATTTTAATTAAAGTAATCTGGTCCTGGGCTGGGATTGTGGCTCAGCGGTAAAGCGCTCCCTTAGCATGGGAGGGACCCGGGTTCAATTCTCAGCACCACATAAAAAAAATAAAGGCATTCTGTTGTGTCCATCAACAACAACAACAACAACAACAACAACAAAAAGTAATCTGGTCCTAATTGCCAAACTCAGAATCATTCACAATAAAACAAACAAACAAACAACAACAACAACAATAAAAACCCTAGTCACTATGTACCTTCTGTTTAATATGAGTCTAATTAAATTGCTATATCTAACTTCTAGATTGCAGGACATACAGATGCTAGGGGAACAAGTTAAATGACATTGTGAAAAATATCAGACAACTCCAGAATGTGGGACATTATACATGATGACTGGACAGACCTCTATGGCAATGGGAGGGAAGGAAGGACAGACTGACTGATGGACAGAAGGGGAGAAGGAGAAGGAACAAGATGGAGAAAGGAGAGGTGAAATAAGAAAGAAAGAGGGAAGGAAGGAAAAAAGGGAGGGAGGGAAGAAAGGTATGGTGGGGTGGGTAAGAGGAGAGGCGCACTGCTCCATGTCAAGAGTCAAGAGTCTAAAGAAGCACATCAAACACAAAGGGTGACTCTCAAATAAATGCTGTTGAGAAAAACAGTTTAAAAGGCAGTATGGGCTGGGAGCAGTGGTGCATACCTGTAATTGGAGGATCGAGAGTTCAAAGCCAGCCTCAGCAAAAGTGAGGCGCTATGCAACTCAGTGAGACCCTGTATCTAAATAAAATACAAAATAGTGCTCGAGATGTGGCTCAGTGGTCGAGTGCCCCCTGAGTTCAAACCCTGATATTACCCCGAAAAAGGCAGTCTTGGGACAAGTGGAAACATTCAACAAGGAACTGGCATGAGCTAAAATTGGGGAATCACACTGTTACTTTTTTGATGTRACAAAGGTGCCATGGTTAGGCAGAAGGTCCTTGTTTCTTAGACACAGAAGTGAAGTATCCTAATGTCTTTATTTTCACTTTAAAAACATTCAATAAGCTGAGTGATAGGCTAGGTGGTCTACTTTTTGTATGTTTGAAAACTTTCACAATAAAATGTTTTYAAAAAGTTAAATAGAAACTATAAAATATGCACAAACAAAATGAATATATAAAATATCAATAATAGTTAAAAATAAAAATAGCTGGATACTTTCTTGACTTGAAAAAATAAGAAGCATGAATACTGAAAAGAAAGGAAAAACTACTATCCTTTGAAGATATAATTGATATCTACAAATCAAAGAAAACAATCAATGTAGTGGCTACAAAAAATATAAAAAATGCCAAATGTCTAACTAGTTAGAAAAAAAAATGGAAGAAAAAAAGATGCAACTTATAATAGCCAAAGATAAAATCACCCCTTGAGGAACCCAGGGGTCCCCAACCACTACTCTGCCTATATTCTCCTCATCTTGATGACAACCACAGAAGTGAACCTTGTGCATGTGACCATAAGCCATGGTGCTCTGGTAGAGCTACCCACCCACAGTGTCAATGGCCAGGTTTTTACACAGGACATAATTAGGGGCTGGAGTCAGTAGGTAAGAAATACGTAACAGTTCAATGAGGAAAACAATGTATACTGAGGGTTATCAGAGTAGTCTCAAATAACTAAAAACAAAAGYTCTTTAGTAGAAAACCCCAGTTTTTAAAATAACAACACTATTTTCCCCTCAGAAATCCTAAATCTTTAAATCAATGCAATCTCAAAATGCTAGTGAATTCTTTCTGGAAACCCAACAAACTAACACAAAGTAATGAGGAGGAATTAACAGGTATGAAAACAGAAAAAGCAAAGCCCTGCTCCCGGCTCACATTTTTTAAGAGGACAGAGGTGACATTAAACTTTCTTAGTACAATGTTCATTTCATTATCTTCATGTTCCATAGGTAGTTCACAATTTGTGAGGGCCAAGTGACAAAAGTACATGTCCCAGTAGTAGCAGTATAGAAGGAGAGATGCTGTGCTGGAAAGGGCAGCGCCACCTTCTTTCAGCTCTCTTCACTGCCAGATGTTCAAGAAGCATCGCCCAGACTTCTTGCAGTGCTTATTTATCCATCTCCCTTTAATCCCAGCCCTCTATCATTTCTTAGTTAAAAGCTCTTATAAACTGCTGAGTTTCCTCATCTGTAAAATGAGGCAAATCACTTTTTCAGAGTTATTTTTAGGGATTAGATGAGGGAGTCCCTATAGTATGTGCCACATAGTAACATTTTGCAAAATACTAGCTACTAATTAGATGCTAAATCATTATCACCATCCTGCTTCCATTACACAGGTTTTAAATTTTAATCTCAGGTTTAAATAGTTGCAATTTTTTTTTCCTTATGTGTGTATTTTACTAAAATTGCATTAAATTCTTTTTAAAAGTGGACAATACATTGAAAAAATAAGCATCACAATAGCAAGAGTATAGTAATTGCTGCTCCAAATGCATTTCCTGCTACAGGAAAGAATTAGTAGAAAACAGACATAATTATACTGAACAAGGGTGGGTTCACCTCACTTAGTAAAGGCGATAGTTTCACGAGGCCTATGCTCAACCTAACTGTGTATGCTGTGAGGGGTTGTTTTCTAGTCAATTCTGATGACCCCAAACCTCACAGAAGCGCTGATTAAACCCTTCTCAATTAAGTAAGTAAAATCAGAACATCTTAATTTTTTACTGAAGGGGAAATGTATTTTCCATTAATGCAATTCTGCTTTCCTTCTGTACAGATACATCCTTGATGACAGAAGAATCAGGAAATGCCAAATTCACCTCTACCTGAGAGCGTAAATAACTTTTCATCTCTTGCCCATGATCTTCCACTGCCCYACCCTTTTACCATACCCTCCACTGCAACAAAGGTGAAAGAGGAAAAAATAACTTTTTCTCAGGATATCATACATTGTTAAGTACTATCTGGTCAAAACTCTTAAAATTACTCCTACTGTGATCTTTCTACATTTTCTTTTCTCTCCCTCTCAAGCTCCCCTACCCTTACCATTTATCTTGCACCTAGCTCTATTATTACTGCTCCATTCACTTTGTTATCGTCTGTGTAAATAATCTCAACTGAGTGCACCTGAAAGCAAGAACACATTTTTCTCTTAAGTTTTCAAATTCTCAGAGGATTCCCCAGCAGAAAGCCTAACAGTAGGTCCTGGAATGTTTTGAAGTAAGTGAATAAAATATATTACCTACAAGAGCCCTGGATTGGTAATCAGAAAGTCCAGACTCTACTCTTGTTAATGCAATTTGGAAGTTCTGTAGCTTCCTATTTAAGTTTGAATTTTCTCATCTGTAAAGTGGGACTTTACTTGCTCTGCTATTGTACAGTTTTATAAAATGAGATGACGAAAGTAAAAAGTGCTTATTGTTATATTAGTTTAAATAACACCATAGTTACTTCTGAAAATTAATATTATTTKTCAACCAAATTTATAAATTTAAGTAGGAACAGTACAGTTGTTCCATTAGGAGATGTAGATTTAATGTTTACTTGCTTTTTCTTTAAAATAAATTTTTTAAAAAAGCTAAAGACAGTAGGTAAGGCATTCACTTATATTATTTCTTCAAGAGTATTATGCTTGTGCTATGAAAAAGAAATAATCCATGTTAATTGTGCCATGTCTTCCAATCTTAATTAAAATTTAGATGTAAAATATTGGGGTATTTCTTACCAGGTTCTGGGAGATCTAATTTCGCCCGCTTTAGTTCTGCCATAGAAATCTGAAGTTGGTCTATTACAAAATCATCTTCAAAGAAAAAATCCTTTGCTAGAGTCTCCTGAAGAAATTCTACAAGTTCTTCCATAGATAATTTCATTAGATGTTCTAAGAAAGGATGACAGAAATGCAAATGCTAAGTCAACAATTACTTTAGGTTGAAAAGATAATACATTCTATTTGGTATAGCACATTTTTAAAAAGGGCATTGAAAAAACATAAATAAATTTCACATGGCCTTGTGAATGTTAAAATAAWTTTTTTTCTGATACTGAAATGGTCACAGAGAAATGCAGGATAATCTTACTGGGGAGAAAGAGGAGCTGGCATATACTGTCAAACACCTTCTCATTGGTTTAAGAGTAATAATATATAGGCATTAATAGTAACCCAGAGTAAGAGMTTCTCTGAGACAACAGACATAGAAAGGCACCCAGGAGGACATGAGGCCTTTCTCTTTTATTGATTTAAAGCTCCAACTGTCAAAGGCAAATCCACTTCTAAGTCTGTATTTATTAGTGGTTCAGAACTTTTTTTAAAAGATATTATTAATTTGTAGAGTTTATTTCTGCTTATGAAAATAGTTTCATTAGAAAAAGTTTCAAACTACAGACACAAATCGGAAAATAAAAACCCACTAGGATCCTACCCAATACCCTACTCACAGGTATGTATATTAACATGTGCATATGTGTATCAATTCACAAAATTAAATGATATTTACCAAGTTATTCACCTTGCTTTGTTCCCATTCAATAATATATCACTGATATCTCTCACTTCGACAGATATGATTTTATACCATCATTATTCGCAGTGATATAATAGTGCAATGTAATGAATGCATTGTAATTTGCTAATTAGTCTTCTAGTTATGGACATTCAGATTGTTTCTTATTTTTTGCTATTTAAAACCACTTTGCCATGAACCTCTAGTAACAGTGTCTCTAAATATTAAGGCAATGTGGAAGAAAGAGAAAAAAGAAAAAAACCTCTTAACCACTGAGTAAGTGTCCCAAAAGAAGTTTTTCTTTTTTAATTGACAAATAAAAAATTGTATGTATTTAAGGTGTAAAATATGGTCTATTATAAAATCATCTTCAAAGATGATTTGGTGTATGTATAACATTGTGGAATGATTAGACCAACCTAATTAACATATCCATCAAACATATTTATTTTTGTAAYGAGAACACTGAAAGTCTACCTACTTTGCAGTTTTCAAATATTCACTAATATTATTAGTTTCAGTCACTAGGCTGTACAATAGATCTCCAGAACCATTCCTTCTGTCCAGCTGAAACTTTTTTACCTCTTAGTAACATCTCTCCATCCTCCCTGCCTCTCAACTACCATTCAGGTTTTGAGGCTTCACATGGTGATGAAGGAAATTAGTTTAAGCCCTTGAGCTTTGTTTCCCTAGCCTGCCCCCCCCCCAAAATTATAGAGCAGTAGAGAGATTTTTTTACAGTTTATTTAGTCTAATGATATGCTAGTATATAAAGTAATTGATTGTTGTGCTTAAAGTTTATTCACAAAGGGTAAAGAAACCTTTTTCTTGTCAAAATTGATCAAGGGTCATATAAATAAAAACAATTTAAGAAGAAAAAAGAGCTACAAAGAAATATGTTTCTACTTTTACACTGTTTAGGGAACATTGATATCTCTTAATAAAAATTTTATTTTTGTTCCACACCTATTTTATTCATAATCCAGAGAGAAAGGAAGTAACTGAAATGGAGGAGAGGCAGGAAGAGAAGAAAGAGGGATTTCACCTGGTTATAAGACAGAACCCTGGGTCTTGGATAGCAATTTGTTGTCAAAGGTTTTGTCGTGGTGCTTTAGTCTGTGTGTTGAGGAAACAGAGCCTGAATACAAGGGAAAAGAATCACCACGCTTCTGAATCCTTTTCTTGAAAACAGTAAATAATACAAAGGTATCTTATAATGGGCATTCTTATTCCTAGGTAAAAGTGTGGTTAATCTGACCCTCCTGAAGTCCACTCTGTTCAGATAAATAACAAAACAATCTTACATCAAAGTACCTAGCATGTACTTAGAATACCAAGCACAATAGAGAGAAAAACCRTAAACATAACCTCATACACTCAACTGGCTCCTACTGCAGATGGGATGCTGAGGAGATCATTCAAGGACAACATGACAGAGCAGAGTATACGTGGAACGTGAAATTATGTGGTATGGTCTAGATTAGAAGTACTATATAAAGTTCTAAAGCTTTCAGTGATTCACACTTCTGTATAGTTTTAAGAAGAGTCACAGAATGCTTACAGTTGAACTGAGAGACTTTAAAGTGAATATGATTCTTCACATTCATGAAGAAAATCTCATTTCTTAATTTTAAAGTAAGGCATAGCAACTCAATTTACAAAGCCCTTGAAATACTGCAACTGAGACTAAAATGTGTTTTGTTATTTTGTTTTAAAAAAACAATCCTTGCTACATTTATGCAACTACAGACACTGCCTTTACTTGCCTCAGAGGTCATGACACAGTCAAGCAGAGTTGATCTATAACTTCCCCATCTACAACTTGGAGCTGGAAGCTCTTTTTCCTAAATGAAGGAAACAGTAATAGAAATAGTCTCTGTAGCAACCTTAAATCATGAGGCTAAAGCTCTTTCTGTTCTATTACAAACTTGAAATTCAGATCAATGAAAAGAACAAGAAGATCCAGTGAACATAGAGTTAGAAGTGATGGTGGAATATGATGATCATTATTATCCAAAGTACATGTATGAAGACACAAATTGGTGTGAATATACTCTGTGTACAACCAGAGATATGAAAAGTTGTGCTCTATATGTTTAATAAGAATTGTAATGCATTCTGCTGTCATATATAAATAAAAAATTAATTAAAAAAGAGAAGATCCAGTGAAAACCAATATTTTAGAATATCATTATTAGTGAAACCAACAAATTTCATTCTACCACTCCAGTCAAACTGTTATAAGGAGAAAAGAATCCAAGATCTTTGCCATACACAGCTCTAATAGAAAAAAGAACCACAGAAAGTAAACTACCAACTGAAGATAACTTCCCCACTGATTCTCAAGGACTTTTTTATACTATCATGGAGACAATGGATGAGGAGCCCAGTGGGGACTGACACATCAAAGTTAAAACAAGTCTTGATTTTTATGAAATCTTCAGTTAAAACATTTTCTTACTTTTGTGTAATTTTAAGATTGTGTAAGACATGGCAGTAAGAACTCGTTCTCCTTCAAAGATGTAGATATCCCATATTCTGAGGTTTAGAGTAAAGGGAGTCTGTAATGAAAAGCAAAACAAAACAGAAGAAAGATTAACAGTTTGCCTCACCTTGTGATCAGAATTTTATGATAGAGTTTGTAAGTAAATACTTACACGATCAAGGAAACATTGAAAAAACCATTTCATTGTGTAAAAACTCGTGTAGATTTCTTGAGTATCCTGAAAAAACAAAGATCTCACAATTTCTGGATTGTAACCAACAGAATATGACAATACAATACACAAAATTAGGAAGGATATTGGAGATAGCTGTCAAAGATAAACATTAAAAAATCCACCTTTTGGGGCTGGGGTTGCAGAGTGCTTGCCCAGTACATGTGAGGCACTGGGTTCAAGCCTCAGCATCACATGAAAATAAATAAATAAAATAAAGATATTTAAGGAAAAAAAAATCTCTTTATTTTCACTAATATATTTTACAATTAACTATCTTTGTTTTACTAAAGTATTATATCTTATAGTAAAGCACACATATAGTTCATGAGGAATGAGTTTGTAAGACCCTTAAAATACTTTTTGTACAATTCAAAACCCTCCAAAGTAACTAAGAAATCATATATCATTTAAAAACTTCATTGTTTCCGCTTATCAGCTTCACAGAAATCTGAATCTATTAATTAAAACTGTGATAGATCATCAATATTAAATTTTACAAATCTAATGTTTATCAAACTGGGAATTGTAACTGTTTAGTAAATGAAATGGATGACACTACAAATTAATGAGTTAACTGAGGCCAAAGACCAAATACCACTGTAGCTTCATAAGTCAGTGTCACATCTACCTACCAAATGTTGCTTAAGCTTGGACAGAAATTTATTCAGTATTTTTTCATGATGTTCTTGAAACCTCAAGAGTTTAGGGAAACCTTGGACAAAAAAGCCTATAATACAAACATAAAAACAGTACTTTAGAAACAATATCCACAAAACATACCAATTTAAAAATGCAACACATTTCTTTCATTCCTATCAAAAGAAAAAAGAAATACCTAGTACTTACCAAGATAATTTTCCTTCCCACCAAAACCATAATTGTATACAAACTTTTGGGTAATGAGACTTTTAGCTAGGATTTGTTGTTAACATTCACCTATATTTTTATAAAATATATTTTCTGTAAAAGGCAGAATATTTCTGAATTAAAGGAAAACTAGTAGACTAAAACCAAAAAAAAAAAAAAAAAAARAAAAGAAAAGAAAACTGAGGTTATTAATCAAGATTCTGTGTTCTTTTTAAGACCTTTGGCCATATCTTAAATGATTGAATTTTTTATAGTTCTAATCTTAACTACTTATCATTTGGTTTTACTGTTAATGTATTACATAAACATTTATTTACATTTTCAAGTTTACTTTAACAATTTCTCTACTACCATTTTTCCAAAGTTTTTATCACTTTTTAACACTTTCTATACGCTATATTTAACATAAGCTAAAACAATGTTATATCAAAAATCATATTTTAATCCAATTGATTATACAATATAATCTGTAAGATGTTTAGTTATAAATGATTAAGATTGTATTAATTTGTATATTTAACTCATTGAACTTTATACATCTATTTTTATTCACAAGGTTCCTTTCAGATATATTTTAAAGGATATAAATTCAGTGGACTCTTATTTCTCCACCCTAGTGTTTTCCAACCGGTTTCTAAGCAACTTTAAAAGATGTTAATAGATTTTCTATGCTTTTAAAAAAGAACCTGGGGTAAACAGTGTATGTTACATGTTGATTTTGGATATTTATGATGTATATTAACCTATTAATTAACGTCTTTTAGATTTCATGAAACATTTTGCTTTGCTTATCTCAATCTCCCAGACTTATCTGAACTTGGAGTCTATTTTTTTTTCCCACAAAACATCTGTTTCAAAAAAACAAAACTTTGTTCCTTCAAGAACTTCAGGAACACACTACTGGGAAACACTGCTTTACAATCTGAGCAGAATTCTCTGTTAACTATTGCTCAGTTTTTGAAGGTATGTGTAAAAATTTCCAGAAATAGAGATTCTATTCTTCTCTCAGTAATATTTTCCAGTGAAATGATTTCATAAAAAAAATCTTTATCTATCAGTGCCATTTTCATGGTCAATTTGACAAGAATGGGAGTTGGAAAATTTTCAAGAAAAGTATGATTTTTTTTTGAAAAAGTCAATGCACTTCAATATTAACTAGCTCAGTGATACAAAGACATCTAATATTTCTTCATTTTTCAGTGATATTCCAGGCTCAGTATTTTAAATYTTATCTTTTCTAGCCTTACCTTTGATTCCACATATTTATAAGTGATACCACTTTAATAAAGGAAATGCAAAGGATAGAGGGTACTTTAGATAAAACTTCATAAGCAGGCATAGAAACAAATATTTCTAAGTATAAACTCACCCATAAAAATGACCTATACTTCACTAAAAGAATAAATGTTAGGATAGAATTGCTTTACAGATTAGATTGGTGACAATATTGCTAGCAAATAGATTTAAAAGAAATGATTATTTTCTAAAATTAGATGGGCTTCTACATAATTATATATCACTTAAATTGTATACTTCATTGCACTCAAGACAAATCAGCAATACCACTGCATGGGGAAGCAAAATAAAGACTAATAAGGAACAGTTCTTTTTCCTCAAGATGTCTTTTTAAATGATACTGCCTATTGAATGTCAACTTAACATAATAATATATCTTACATKTGGAGTCCAGAAACTGTTAACATGTGTTAAAACAATTGGCAAGAAACACTGATAAACTAAAGCAAACACACATACACACATGCACACACCCCTCACACCCCACCACACACAACACTCCCACAAAAGTCACTTGCTAAGTTTGTCAGATTTAATATACAACGGACTGTGGAAGGCCAAAACTTTGAAARCGTTAAAATAGCATTTTCCATGGAAGGTCCCCACAATATAGAGCATAAATATTCACAAAGTGAAYGTAGGTGATTCATTCTTAAGAGTAATTGGCATTACAAGTTTTAATTTGATACTACCATATAAATGAATTGGAAAAAATAACTTTGCCTTAATATAAATGCCACTTTTATTTCCAAAACAAGTTGCAATCAATACTCTCCAAAATAAAATTTAATGAACATGCTTGGCAAATATTAGGAAAAGGTCATTAAAAACAATCTGCTAATCTGAAAACCAAAAACTATGCATGTTTTGGAATATTAAACAATCTAGTGYCCAAAACGTGTCATCAGCCATTTACTTAAAATGGAACAAAATTTATGGCTGGAAGATCTAAAAATCACACTTGAAATATGAAACTACTGTGTTATTATGTACTTTTCCTTTAAATGCCTAAATGTCATGTAATTTCTCAGTTAATGTTCTTTGACAAGAAGTTATMCATCACAATATCCAGTCAATGGTAACATTTAATTGAAATGGTAACTGCATGACTATCTAAAAGTTTTGATCAAAAGGTACCTTGTATTTCTTCTAAATAATATATAGCTTTTCCTCAATTCCTCCAAACCTGAATTAGTTTCTTCTGAGGGCAAGTAAAAAAATTTAAAAATTTTAAAATACCAACAATATACTTTGGGGAAATGACAAAGAAAAATCAGTGTGAACTGAAAAAGTTAGAAAAAAGTTTAATAATAAAAACAAAAAGAAATAGAAACAAACACCAACTGTACAAGCTCTGAGACATTAAATTTGTTGTACTAATTCTACCAGGCATCTTTGACTTTGTTTTCATTTACCTTTTATCCTCTCTGATTTATTGCTTATGATAACATATGGATGTTCTTACCATGCATAGCATGTTTGGGGCCTGAGAAGAGTTTGACCAGGGCCCAGAAGGCATCTTCCTCGTTCATATACATGAGGAGTAGAGCTGTGATCTGGCTCATCCCCTGACAGTACCCAACTTCCTAAAGAGCAAAAGAAACCACAGACACTAGAGTTCTGAATCCAACTACAGATATCACAAAATGCCTAGATAGATTATTTAGTGGGCATTTCTAGAGATAAGTATTACAATCTTTAAAGCATAATGCCATATGTGATAAAAGAATAAAAACTCTCATATAGAATAAATGCACAGGTGTAGACAAAGTTTAAGTGTTTTTTATAAAATCATCTTCTGTTCAATACTGTTATGCTCTCTTTAAAGAGTACCAATATTATTTCATTTTATGTATGATTTTTAGTTCATGATTATTCCTCTTTGCTCAGATGCTAGCAATCTCTCTCCTCCTCCAAGTCCAAGTTTGCTATCTTGTTTCCTCTATATTTCTGGACCCTTAAGTAGATACTTTTTGGATGTCCAACCAACCTACACCCCTCTAAGAGCTACCCACTCTCCTCATAGTCCCTGCTTTGATATGGCCTTAGTGATTCATGCTTCTGTAATAGGAACCATAGCTGATGGACCAGATGAGGACACCTGACACTAAGAGAATAATTAATTGGTTGCATGGACTAATCAGACACTCTACTCTCTCTAGGAAATGTGAACAAAGCCAGAGGGGCTACAATCACATGGAGTTATGTACTCTATTAATATGCTATTCTGTGAGTGATATTTCAGCCATGGAATAACCAGCAGGCAGGTAAAGGAAGCCATCTGGAGACAGACACAGTAGAATACACAATTCACAGAGATAGTCAGAGATACCATGTGGCCCCACAGAGATAGGGAGAAAGTATAGCTATTCTCCCTGAATGCTTCCCACCTTTCAGCTCCAATTCCCATGAGACCAGGTATAGCTTCATTTCCATGAGAAGTTCCTTTAGTAAATCCCTTTTGACATTTCCCCAGTTTAAGCTGACTTCTGCTCTTATAATGCACAGAGTTTAGTTACAAGAGAACTCAAACATCTCAGGGTTCAAAGGTTCTCCTCCCTAGAATCTTGTCAACAGGTATTATTTAACACCCATGTTAGGTCTCTCCCGAGAATGGTACATGCCTTAAGAGTAGTATGTTTATTACTAAAAAGTTTAGTTTTATTCTACTCATACGGAACATCATCTGATACATAAAACATAATACTGGAAGACAACCTTCTAGGACTTACCGAAGAATTATTGAGTCAAGCAAAAATTAATCTAGCCACCAACTTCCTGTCCTACCTTCCCAATTCCTGACCTGTTTGCTTGAAAGTAATAACAAATACCATAAAACATAACAAAAAATCTATAGCAGGGGAGAAAAAGTGAGATTCACTGGTGTACTATGGTCATATCTTGTTTTTTCCACTTCCAATCACTTCTGTTCTAAGACCTCAGGGTTACCATAGAAGCCATAAAAAGATCCACAGAACTAAAAGGTCCTGGGATGAAGAAATGGGGCTACAAGGGCCTTATTAGGTAGGGGGTGCCAAAAGGAACCTCCTGCTTCTTGGAATACAATAGCGCATGCTCGGACTTACCGTATTATAGATAGAATATGCAGCAAGAACATGAAATAAGGATTGTTGCCTAGAGAAATAAAAATTTACATTAAACACAATTTAAAGAGTATTTCACACTTTTAAAATTACAAACTTACAAATAATCCAGATTAAGATTTATAATTGCAATAAAGAAATTCTCCTAAGTGCATATGAAAAGAGTACACTMAACAGTCTAAATTTGAGACTAGACCGCTTCATTCTGACAGAAAGATTTATACCCAAAACACAAAGGACTTCAACATGTCTTACACTGTTGCCGCCTTTCATTGAATTTATAAACAGAAGCCTTTGGATCAACAAAACAGAGGCAAGGTCTTCTGAAGACTCCATGACAACACCAACTAAGTGTAATACCTAACAGGGCTGGGAAATGTCCTCCAAAAAGCTGGACATGCTCTATAGTAGCCTCCAAGAGAAGGTAGCTTGTTATGCTTTCCATAGCCAGGATGCAGGTATTGAGGTTCAAGGGTGGAAACAGGAGTAGCTCTACTCACTGTTATCCCAAATGACTGACTCCCTAGGAAGTTTTCTGCTTCCCATCCCTGCAATCTTAGGCTCTGTTGATCTAGATATCTTARTTCCAAAAGAGCAGGTTCCACCAGGAGACATAATGTTGATTCCATAAAACTGGACTGCCACACAACCGTTTTGAGTTCTTTATGCCTCAACAGACAGAGAGGGGGATTGATCCTGATTATTAAGGGGAAAAATGATTACTACGATATAACAGACATAGGAGGAATATGTCTGGAATACAGGAGAACACTGGGGCATCTCTTAGTATTACAAACCTCTGTGGTTGAAGTCAATGGGAAGCTATTGATTTTTTCCAATTCGGGCAGAACTGGCAACAATCCAGACTTTCCAGGGATGAAGGTTCTACCAGAAAAAGAACTATAACCAGCAGCAGTACTTGATGAGGGCAAATGATACATGGAATGGGCAGTGGAAGAAGGTTACTATTAATACCAGCTATGCCCATATGGGAAGTCAGAGAAATTACTGTAATTTTACAAACACTTCTTCCTCACTTTGGTATGAGTGTGTGTGTGTGTGTGTGTGTGTGTGTATGTATACACAAACAAAATTTTCCTTTTTAAAATTTTTAAATTTTTATTATTGGTTGTTTAAAACATTACATAGTTCTTAACATATCATATTTCATACATTTGATTCAATTGGGTTATGAACTCCCATTTTTACCCCACATACAGATTGCAGAATCACATCAGTTACACATCCACTGTTTTACATATTGCCATACTAGTGTCTGATGTGTTCTACTGCCTTTCCTATTCTCTACTATCCCCCTTCCCCTC